ACCCAAAATCCCAGAAAAATTCAAAACTCCACAAAAATCCCAAAAAATTCAGAAAAATCTCAAAACTCTAAAATCCCAAAAATATTTAAAATTGAAATAAATCCATCAACGCAGTTAAAGCAAAATCCATTCGCCCTCCGCAACAGTTTGTCGAGGCGGATAAATTCGAATAAACTCTAGCTCACAAAGAGCCAAATGCCTAGTCGAAAATATCACTAGGATTCATTCTCAAACAATCTCCTGCCAGTAAGGACGTGGTACGTGTCCTCTAACCGGCGGTTTTGCCGCCAAATGGCACCGCAGGATAAACGGTTACGACGACCCGGGGCCCTCTGAACCGCGTGGTTTCGCCGCCAAATGGCACCACGATATATCGGTTATGGCCAGAGCCAATACGCTCCTTAATGGCGTTAAATCCTTGAGATATGAATCAATAGGATATGATCGATAGGGCACAAAGCCCTCTGTCAGCTAAGGTGGATTTAAATTTGTCCCCTTAGACAAACACCAACCCCGGTCTACAAGGTTCCCTTGGACGAAGCAACCCATGGCTGCCGACAAGGATCCTTCTGTCAGGTTGGGTCGACTACCTCCTCTGACTAAGTAGACCAGGGACCATGATGACCCGGGACGACGGAACCATAGGATCTTGATCGGGTCCATCATCCATTCCCCCACCATCCGCTTTAAGTGCTAGATAGTGAAATTTCTATTTTTAAATATAAAATTTTCCCAAATATCCCAATCCAAATCTTCAAATCTTCCAAACCCAACTCTTCAATTTCCAACCATTTTCCAACATCCGAAACCTATGCTGCTACTATATGTCAGATACACGTATATTCTACGTATCTGATTGACGACTAGCCTTAATCGAAAGTTCTCTCTCGTGATCGGGAGGGGTAATTAACTATAGGGGCTTGCGCCTATAGGAAACCAGAACTCAGATCATAAAGTCCTCGTAAAATGAGGGCGAAATCTCTGGGTAGTGTCTTATCTACAAACCCATCTGCCTTCCAAAGTTTACCCCGGAACTTAGTTCGTTAAAACTCCCTCGTCAAATAAGAAAAGCGAGTGGAGGCCGGGGCCGAATTTTCGGAGCCCACAACGCCAGCTATTAAAGTTCGGAGACTTGTACGCTCGTGAATGTGTCGTACATCCCATGAACATTTGCTTTTGCAAAAAAATAAAATAGTATACTATTATGCGTCATGGGTTGTACGACCCCTAGATTAAAATGCGCATAACGCCAAATCATCGAAGGGTGTCGTCTATGAGCCCCCTTTTGTATAATGTGTATATACCAAATACATACATACGTATATAGTGGCACATATGCATACCTTCAGTCATACGAGCGCACTAAGTAACATGCATACATGTTGTTGATCATGCAAACCACTTCCTACATATGCCTATGATTTGCCATTATGCAAGTGCATCAAAATTCGTCCAGGTCTATCACACAAACACAATAAGCAAAATATGTGAGTGCACTGCACGAGTGCATCATACAAATGCAATTATATTTTACACACTTGCTTAACAACATGTAAAGGTATATGCAAATATATAAGTATACATACAAACATGTAAATGCATATGCAAGCATACAAATATATAAATACACGTGCAAATAAGTATGTGAACATGCATATACATCATATACACCCATTGTGTGCATACATGCCATGCAATGTCTAAAATATAGTATACAACGCACATCATTCAACGTACAAATGCATTATATATCGTAGTAGCGCATTATATCAATAAAAATATATTATACGCTATGCAAATGCATTAAGCCACCATGAAAATACATCATACATAGTATTGTCCAATAATGCAACGTAAATATACACTATCTCATATGTGTGTGCATTATGCAAAATGTACTGAAAAACGTATGAGCCCCGACGAGCGTGACACATACACATGACGTCTGAGGATGTTGTGCGGACTAAGGAAATAATGAATGAATTTTCAAGCATACAAAATACATTGTATAAGCATGCTGACATACACAGGAATATCTTTTAAAATGAAATTTAAGATACACACATGTGCTCTGACAAGTGTGTTATACTCCTAAAACCTTGCCTGAGAATATTGCGCAAGTGAACTTAAATTCAAGTCCAATCATCTTTGAATGGACAAGTTGACAAGACTTGAACCATCGAACAAATACACGATCATAAAACTAATCGGAGTATTTAGTTTTATACGTTCATATTAGGCTTTCAAAATCTATTACAAAAAAGGTTCACTGCTAAAAGCATAAACTCTTAGAACCGACACTCATTGAGTTTAACCGAATTATTTAATTTTATATGTTCATATTAGACATTCAAGGTCTTTCATGAGAAAAATTCACATATTAAAATAAATACCTCCGGTTCTGATATCTACACGATAACTTCAAAAATTAGAGCTGAACTCAATCCTCTATTGGCAAGTAAACATAGTCAACAAGATTAGACTAATGAAATGAAATTACCCATAATTTTCAATGATTGTCGTGTTGAATGCAAATCTCAAGCGGATGGGCCAAAACAAATTTAAAAAAAAAATGCCCCCAAATCTCGACGGTAATTATACGAGATGTAAACTTAAATAAAAAATTCAAATCTATTGCTCTTTAAAAAAAATTCAAAATATCTAATCAAAATAAATCACTCAAACACTTAAAGTTATAATTCATCCACCTTTCGAAACAGTTTATCAAACTGGATAAATTTAAAAAATCACTTAAGCTAATAAAAAGCGAATGTCTAGTAAAAAATATCACTAGTATTCATTCTCAAACCATCTCTTGCTAGTAAAGATGTGGCACGTGTCCTCTAACATGTGGTTTCGCCACCAAATGACAACACAGATAAACGGTTATGACCAGGTGAGTTTGCTGCCAAATAGTACCACTAAATTATGATCATGGCCAGAGACTCTATGTTTCCCAATGGGTCTAAATCTTTGAGTAACGAATCAATATGGTATAATCGATATGACACATAATAGTTGGAAGAAGCAACCCATGGCTTACAACAAGGATCCTTCAGCCAGGTTGAGTCGATTACCTCCTCTAACTAAGTAGACTAGGGACTATAATGACCTGGGACGACGGAACCATGGGAACTTGATCGGGCTCATTATCATTCCCCCCACCATCCATTTTAAGTGCGCAATGATAAATTTTCAACTTTCAACATCTAATTTTGATGCTACTATATGCTGGATACTGCGTATATGTTCAATGACTAGCATTAATTAAAAGTTTTCACTCATGGTAATTAACTATAGGGACTTGCGCCCATAGGAAACAAGAACTCAGATCATAAAGTCCTCACAAAATGAGGGTGAAATCTCTAGGTAGTGTCTTATCTAAAAACCCAATATGCCTTCTAAAAATTTATCCCGGAACTTAAACTCGTTAGAACTCTCCTCGCCGACACAAAAAGAAAGGGGCTGCGGAACAACTTCCAGTTCCAATTTTTGGTTTTTACTTGGGGCAGGCTTATTTAGGAATCAACTTTACATGTACATAAAATATCTTCCAGGTTCAATCTAGACAACTCATGAATTCCTAGGTAGAAAACTTGCTATGCAACAATAACATGTTGGTACAAATCAGGATATGCGGTCAAATATTTTGGCACATGCTCGAAAATGCTTATTTAGAAGTTAAGCTTTTTTAACAATTTTCAATTTTTGTTTTCAATAAAGTCAATAAAGGCAACATTGAACAAAATAAAGTTGCTCAGACTACTTACTTTGTCTAGCTTACAAAACTTTTCTGATTCCTCAGCTTGTTTTTTCTCCCGTCTTTCTTGGCTTTTTGATTCATAGACAAAATCTGGTGCTGAATATCAGAAGTGACAACAAGTTTGCGCCTCTTGTTCTCAATGTCAAGCCTCTAAAGGCATTTGAAAGAAATATGTGAGGTGAAACATGACAAAGACTTCGGAAAGAAAAATTGATATAAACCTGCTTAGATAATCTTATCAATTTGCCTATGAAACTCCGCAAACGTTCCTCTACACACTGAAGTTGCTCGAGTTAGAACAAGTACATTAAGTAACTTGAGTACAATTGCTCAAGTGACATCTCACCATAGATAGACAATACTCCACGTCTTTACTTATACCTCCTAAACCACATCTGGAAACTAAAAATGACACAAATAAGTAGTTGCCTGCTATTTCCAACCCTACGAAAATGTCATAAAAAGATAACTTAGATCAGGAAAAAAAGGTAATTACTGATTTGCGTCAGTTTTTTCAGTAGAGGTCCCTTCTGCAGAATTGATGTTTCTTCTTCCTCCTGTACAACTCTTTGAATTGCCTCTGAAGCTTGTGTTCCTTCTGTCCGAGAAACAAGTAGTTGCTCCCCTTCTGCCTGTTATACAAATAATGAGAAACTTCATGTCGGATTAAGAAGAAAAAAAATTATGTACCCCAATAAAAAGGCTAAGATCATAGATAACTAATTAACCGAAAAATCTTATTGAATATGATCAGGATGGCCTCATACCCTTAGATTGACTCCACTTACAGCAGTCACATCATTAAGCTGTTCAATGCTTTGATCCAGGAAAGCTCCACTAGTCTTCTGCTTTTTGCTATTAAACATCACTTGGAATCAGATAATCACATAAAGTAAATATTTAGTAAGTTTTTGTTGAAATCAAGATAACTAAAAAATGATCAATGGAACTGTTCACCTTGCTTGGGGTTGGGAGTTCCCTGAAGTTTCAAGCGTCTTTTTCTTACCAATGGGACGTTTCTTTGGAGGAAATTTTATGCTAGTTCCACGAATTAGATAGAGACTTTGAGATTGTGACTGCACTGGGTTCTAAATGTAGTTGAAGAAAAGAATCAGAAAATATTTGATAGAAGAAATCATCTGGAGAACAACAACAGTAATATTGAACTAACAAATTTGAGCTATAACTACCTAACGAACACAATAATTAAATTTCCACTAAATCGTTCATCTACATACCTGCATCTGCGCTTGATGGACTGCAGCCTCTCTTCTAATCATTCGGTCCGCAACAACTTTATTGCAAACTTTTAAGTAGTTCTCCTTACTAATTTCATTATTCTACAAATGAAAAAACATCCAGTAGAAGTTCAGGACTTTTTCCATATGAAATCAAACTTTGGTCTAAGGAAATTTTACATCGAATATGGCAAAAGAAATTAGCGCATACATATAATTCATTAAACTCACTTAAAGTATTAGTCAATTGTGTTATATGAAAATTAAACAAGTATATCATTATGTTCATGGATAAATAAAGTTAGATCACCAAGTCTATCTTAAAATACCTTTTATGCCATGGTTAACCACTTAACCAACCTAGAGAAAGAAAAATCAATAAATCATTGTCCTTTTTAAGTTTCAATAGCCAATGATCATATAACTCACACTCACAATTTATTTCAAAGTACTATTATCCTAACTTTGGCAATATCATGTAGATTGAGAACAGAAACTTAATTAATGATTTAGATTTCAACATAACAATAAAACTACATGTTTGAAAGAAACAAATTAAAGTATAATTACCAATAATTTAATATACAAATCCCGAAGCAGCATTGACCTGTCTTTATCAAGGAGAGGCTGTAATTGTGGAACTAACATATTCAACTCCAGGGAATTTTTCGGTATCTTCCAGTTCAAGGAATTATTTGAAAGGTCAGTATTGGGAGGTTGTTGATTATTGAACTGCTGGACTTTCTGCTTTTGTACCTTGGAATGCTGATGTATGTCTTGGGATGGGTTATTATCAACATTTTGCCGAGAAAAATTATCTGAATGCCCTTTTTGCCATTCACAATGTGTATTTCCATGCTGTAGTAGTCTATGATCACATTGTAATTGAGAATCAATATGCTGATTTTGATAGCGAGAAGAAAAAATTTTAACTTGCTCCAACTGAGTTAGATGTTTAGTGAATTGCAAATTATTCTTCAATGTGGTGGAGCTATCATCCAGAGTCAATACTCCTGAGAGAAGATAAGAAATATCATTGATATTTCTAGAAAAAAATTAACATTGCATCCAATCATATGAAGCATGTTATCCATAAATTGATAAGCTATATGTAGATATAAAACGATGAGTTTTATGTGGATAGATATCAGGCTACTGTAAGATATTGTAATTGCTTGATTAAATTCAACATTCAGATATTACTAATTACTAACATATACTTAAATACTGTATTCTACTATATATTAAATTAATAAACCTAAATTTAAACGCTATGTTTCAGTACGGATCTAGGAGATTTCAATCATGCACAGATGTATATTCCTGATAATGCCCAGAATCGTACAAGTCTTAATCTTAACCATCTACAAGTTCAAAATTAATTCATTAAAAGATGTACAAAGTTTAAGAATACAAGTAACTAAAGATGCAGACCCAACCCACTACTTAACCTTGCAAACAAGTGTTAAAAAAACAGACAAGTAGAACATAGAGAGAAAATCTCAATTGTATTCCTTACTCCAAAGTGAAGGCTAAGGGCGCCTTTATATAAATAATATAAAGCTCTATTTAAAATTGCGCAATAAGAGGACCGCCTTTGAGCAATTTTGCCAAAAACCACCTCAAAGCTTACGCAATTCCTCCTCTTGCTGAGGCGTATGCCTCACTTGGCCTAAGGCGCAATTGCGCAACTCTTGGTGAGGCGTACGCCTCATGGATTAGGGCCCACCCACTTAAAATGAAGGGTTTTTAGCCTCCTTGAACCACACGGTCCCGATGTTCTGCTTCCCGCAAGGCCTCCTATTCGCGAAACAGAGAAATCCTGCACGCAGCTTCTACTGCCGGCTCCCTTCCCACAGCTTCTCCCGCCGGCGCCGCCTCTCTCCGGCGAAGTTGAAAGTTCCGGCCTCCCTCTAGGAGTACTCCACATTGGATTTTAGGTTTTTTTTTTAGTTTAGGATTAGATTTTTCTAATGTAAGAAAATCTAGGGTTTCTGTTTATTTAATTGTTTTTTTGTGTTTTTGGATTTTTTTCTTTAGGAGACATGGTTAGAGGTAAAGAAAAGGCTAATACGTCATTGCGGCGTGACCCCTCTTGGAAATATAGCATTTAGTGATGGGATATGATTGCATTTTATATGTTTTTTATATTTTGGGAGTTTTGTTAAACTAATATTTTGTGATTTTGTACTTTGGGACATAATTTTATTGCATCTACTTTCTTACTTTCCACTATTTTCATATATCATTTAGATATTTTTATTGTAAGATACAATATTGCTATTATTTTCCTGCTAAAACCCTTAATTTTTCATTTACGCAATTCTGTGTCCGTGAGGCTTACGCCTCAGACCGCCTCGAGGCTTACGCCTCGCCTCACGGACGAAAACCGCCTCGAGGCTTAATTACGCAATTTTAAACCTTGATATAAAGTACAATCAGAGGATTAAGAAGGATTAGAAAGTTACCACCCATGTGAGAGAACTAGAAAAAAATGGTAAGCAAAAGCAAATACCACGGTCTTAATTGGTAGCCAGCAATGCTTGCCGGATCCATGTGTCGGCTGCCATTGAGTGCCTCTTTGATTGTTGTTCCCACCATTTTTTTCTTCCATATTGGCATCCTGAATTCTAGCAAACCATAATTTCTTAACATGGCATCTGTTTGCCCCCTTCATCGAACCCAAGATTTCCACACTCACCTCACACTCACCTTCAACCCGGAATAAATATTGATCACTCCTAGCCAGAATTGAGGTTGTCGAATTGATTTTAGATAAGAACCCTATTGAGGATGTATTTTGTAAGAGTATAGATCATTTTATAATTCCTGTTCAATTCTCTTTTATGAATTGTTGTTCAGTTTCTATGTTTACACCTATCATGGTGAATAGGATCCTTAGCTATGTTGATTGTGGCTTGGTTGTTATATATCATCATCATTGGCTTTTTCAACTAGATTTAGAGATAAATCGTTCAAGCCATATTACATCACAAATTTCATGATCTATTGTGGGCTCCGAAAATTCTCACCCGCTCGACGACCCCTTCTTTTTCGGGTCATTAAGAAGAGTTTTAACAAGTAGGTTCCGAGACAAATTTTCAGAAAGTATACTAGGTTTTTAAATAAGATATTAACCAGATATTTCACCCTCATTTTATGAGAACTTCATGATATGAGTTCATGTTTCCTATAGGTACAAGCCCCTATAATTAATTACCCCTCCCAATAATAAGAGAATTTTGATTAAGGCTAGTTGTCAAACAGATACGTAGTATCCGGTGTATAGTAGCAACAATATTTGATATTTAAAATTGAAATTTATATCACCACACTTAAAGCGAATTGTGGGGGGAATTACGATGAACAAGATTAAGATTCCGTTGTCCCGGGTTCTCTCTCTAATAAGAGAGAGAGGAAAAAAAATTGTGAGTATTTGCCTCACCCCCATCGTTGTCATCACCACTAAACATATGAAATTATAAATTAGTGAATCTTTAAAATTTCCAATATCTTAAATGTGACACATTGAATGCAACAAGTGAAATCCATGCGAGATTTTCTTGGCGCTGCGGAATAACTCGTAGGCAACGTTTGCGACACAATAAGTAAGCCCTCTATATGCTTTTCTTAGCAAGACAAGAAAAATTCAAGTATAAGTACTCGTGCATGTCTTTTTTGACGCAGTAGGGAAACATTACAAGTTAAGAGTAAGTACACGAAGACCCACACATGCCTTTCATGGCATCGTAGGATAGAAGACCCCTTAGCTATAGTGTTTTATTACATCGATCATGCAATTTTTTTAAGTGTGGTGGCAAGCCTAGCACTCTCAAAGACACTCTACGTGGGAAAGGAACTGGGAGGCTGTCGAAATTCATGGTAAACCTGACATGTGTAAAATATTAAAAGAGAAAAATTAAGAAAGATTATAAACTATATCAGAGGCATAATTGACAAAATGAACATATGCAAATTACAAAACAATGATAAAATAAAAACTTAAAGATAAAAATTATGTGGCAACAATTGAACATTGAAATAACACTAAGAGGACTTTTAATGAACTCTAACAACTCGCCAAAAACTGTGAACAGAACTTTCCCTCCGCTCCTAAAACTATCTTGAACATTTAGAAACTACAAGAGCGTTCTTAATTAGATGATCTAAGAATGTAAATGAACTAAAATAAGATCCTCTTTATAGCTAAAAAATAAATCCCCATGCAGCCCACCAAAGTGAAATACAAGCCAGGTACAAATAAATGGTACCATTTAAAAGATACATGAAAGATCCTGATTCTTGATACTCACAATCGGATTTGCAATACACGTGCAGGCGAATAATGTGATTGCTAATCAAACCAAAATCCATAGCCATGTGCAAATTTTAAAGATAAATTATTCATTAAACTACTACATTAAACTCTCACACATCTCAAATAGTTGTGTTCACATGAATGACCTTCAAATAGACCAAAGTAGCCCAACTTCTTGCACATTATAAGTGTATGATTTTCTTAAGGAATGCACACATTAATTATTAAAAAGGAAGCACAAACACATCCTATAAACAAACACTATATCTCCTGAACAAGAAGCAAGTTCTGTGAGTAGCCCATACATCCTGTGAACAAATAATACATACCCGTGAATGAAAATTTTCAAATGAGATGAAGCAATGCACTAATGTGTGTCACAGACCAAAGGGCCATTTTGATAAAGTGTGCAAGATATATCTAATCACTAGAAGCAATATTGTCCATGCGTCTACTAAGGGTCTCTTTGGGAAAACTTTCTCATTGCTTTGTTTTTCATATAACATGTATAGCTTTGTTTGGCTATTTTTTTCTTTTTTCTTTCTTGCCTCTTTCCTAAAATTTTCATGTTAAGAAGATAATTTTTACAATTAGAATTACTAATGTTTGATAGATTATTAAAATAACTGTTTGATTTTTTTTTTAAGAACATATTTATAATATACACAACAACTTTAAAAGAAATTACTTTTCCCATAATAGCTTCACAACCACCATCACAAAATACTATAACCATCCCAAAAAAACCTAAATGTATAGAGCAAATATGATGATGAACGTGCTAATGCACTATGCATGTGCATTGAAGATCGTGTAAGTATGCAAGTGCATCAAAAAAATATGCAAGTGTGTCGTGCACGTGTATTAAAAAGTATATTAAGTGTAGTTTGCGAATACACCATGAAATGTGCAAACACACTTTGCACAACACATTGGACCACTGAAATCAATCTAATCACATATGCTCTGACTAATGGATTGAATTTCTAAATTCTAGATTTGATAATGCTGCGCGGGTAAAATGGAATGAATTTAAATTTGCTTTGCCACAAATGTGTGCAAATATTTTAAAATACTGTAATTATGTTCAAAAATTCAAACTCTATTTTAAAATTTAAATGAAAAAGCATCATTATATATGCACGGTCTCAACTAACACAGTCGTAAGTCCAAATTTCAAGCCTAATACACATAATTGCAAGGATAGAGGTTGAGACTTGAACCTCATGAGAAATGTTCAAACATTAAGTTTTAAATGGTGCACTATAAATTTTATCATCACTAATGAGCATATAACTATAAAACCCATGAAGATATTTAGTTTTACGTGTATAAGCCTTCAATATCATTTACAAAAAAAAAATTACAAAAATACAAACTCTGGGGTTCACCGCTTGTATGGAAGCTCGCAAAATTGACACTTGAACTCATTCATTTGTTAACAAGTGGCCAGAGTTAACAAAATTTAAATAATAATAAAATATTCAAAAACCCTGAAGATGACTGTGTTGATGAAAAGTATCAACTGAAGGGTACTGTATGTTTTCAAAACACCCCCAAATTCTAAATATAATCACCTAGGGTTCGAATTCTGCTAAAATTTAAAAATTCAATATTTCTAAAAATCTAAAATTATTCAAGCAAAATATATCGCCTTAAATTTAAAACAAAATTTATTCACCCTCGAACCATCATTTGATGGCCAAATGAGATATATTTGAGAATAATCTCAACTCATAAAAATTCAATGTCTTAGTGAGCATGTGTTATGATTCATTTTCAGATGATCTCCTACAACTAATGACATATCACAAGTCATTTAACCAGCAATCTTTACACCAAATGACACTATAATTAAATGATTATATCTGAGGCCCTATAATTGGGTAATTTTGTCAAAAAACTGATACATTTAAATTATGATTACAACTAGAACCTACAAGTTCCCCAACAGCTAAAAAACTCTTGAAAGATGAATCATATGATCCATGTCTCAAGAGCATAGAACTCTTTATTAACTAAGATCAATTTATCTCCTCTAAATAAATATCACGTAGGTTTATTTCGGTCCACTTGGACGAAGCAAATCCTAGCTGCCAAAAAGCTTTCTTCAATCAAATTAAGATAGATAGCTCACTGACCAAGTAGACTAGAGACTATGACAACCTGAGATAATAGAACTATACAATCATAATAGATTCATCATAATTCTTATACTATCCGCTTTAAGTTGAATGTGGTAAGCTTCTTAATTTTTCATCAAGTCATCAAGTCATCAAGTCGCTACAACTATTTGTTACACACTTAGCATCTATACAACAACTAGCCTTAATTGAATGTTCTCTCTTCTTACTGAGAGAGATAATTAATTATTGGGCCTTGTGCTTATGGAAAACTTGAAACCTTATAATAAAATCTTTGCAAAATGAGGGAGAAATTTTTGGTAGTAGCTTATCTTCAAATTAATCTCTCTTCAAAAAATTTGACCCGAAAATCCAAAAACTCTCTATAGAGGTTAGGGCGTGAATTTTTGGAGCCTATATAGTGGTCTCAAATGCAGGAGTTACAATCAAATAAACTTCATCTTCAAGATCTCCATTTATAAGACATTTTTGACATAAGTTGTTGAAAAGGTCAATTCAGTTTAACAACAAGAGAGACAATAACTCTACTACTATAGCAACAAAAACATCATCAAGCCTTTATCCCACTATATGAGATCAATTACATAAATCTTTTTTCTTCATTGTGTCATATTAAGAGTCAAATTATCATTTAAATCTAACAAAAAGGTCATTTATAATACTTTGTAACCAAACCTTTTTAGGTCTATCTCTAACTTTCTTAACATAGGTTAGATCTAATATATCTACTCTCCTAATTGGATCATTGAAAAGCCAACATTTTATATGACCAAACCATCTAAGGTGACTTTCTCTAATCTTATTTGCTACTAGAGCTACTCTAACCTTTTTACGTATATACTTCTTTCACATTCTGTCTCTAAGAGTGATGACAATCATCAACCTAAGCATCCTCATCTCTATAACACTTAAATTAATATATTTTATATTTCTTTTCTAATTGCCAATATTTTATGCCATAAAGCATTGCAGGTATCACCTCCATCTTAAAGAATATTTTTTTAAGTTTGAGGGGTACTTTTCTATCACACAACAAGCCCAATGTAACTCTCCACTTCAACCATCCAACTTGAATTCTACTAATATTATTCTCATCTATTTCACCATCATTTTGAATAATAGATTTGAGATATCTAAAATGTGTTCTCTTTTTAATTACCTGATCGTCCAAAGTCATAATCCCCATACTAGATCTATTACTATTAAAATTATACTTCATGTATTCTGTTTTAGATCCACTCAAACGAAAACCTTTAGACTCTAAGGTTGACCTCCGTAATTTAAGTTTTCATTCAACTCCCTCTCTAGTCTTATCATAAAGAAGAATATCAACAACAAAAAATATAAGCCAAGGTACATCCTCTTACAAATGTCTAGTAAGAACATCAATGACCAAAGCAAAAAGATATGTGCTTAAAGCTAATCCTTGACGTAATCCAATTGAAATAAGAAAATAATTGCTCAAACCACTCAAAACATGTGTTTGAACACATACAATAGCTCTTGCATACATATCCTTAATGACTTGAACATAAGCACTATTAACTCATGTCTTTTCTAGAACTCTCCATAGCACTTTTCATGAAACTTTATAATATGCTTTCTCTGAATCAATAAATATCATATGTAGATCTTCCTTATTCTCTTTATACTTCTCCATTAAACCTCTCAATAAATATACAGCTTCCATAGTAGACCTACCCAGCATGAATCCAAATTGATTTTGAGAAACTTTAGAGAGATAATAACTCTTATCAAATTAATTTTAACAATTGGTGTAAAGATTTTTTTTTAAATGAATCTTATAAGTTTGAATTTTTTTTTTCAAATTATCTAGCCTTAGATATTGCAATACTCTCATCAGCCTTATATTTGTTGTTAAAGATCTATTTGCACTCAATAAGTTTCTTTCCCTCTAGCAGGGTCAAAAGCTTCCATGTGCCATATTTTTCTAATGTTTGTAATTCTTCATATACCACATCTTTCCATTCAAGTATTATCAATGCATCATAGATATTATTGAGAACATCCATGTTGGAAATATTTGTTGTAAAGACACAAAATTGAGGAGAACATGGCTTAGGAAACATTCTCATTGCATGGGTATCTTTTTGTAGTCCTTGCACATTTCTTTGAGCAATAAGGATGTTAATATCATACTTAGCATTATCTTGTGAAGGACATTTGGGTCTTGGATAAGATGAGTGGTTTTCTTCTGGAAGAATGCTTGGATCAGCTTTGTTTGTTGAATTCTCCTAATGTATAATAATGAACAAAGCCTTCATATATAGCTCATTCTATGTGATCTTGAGAATTTTCAGTATGGTCAGAAGAGTGAGCTTTAGGAAGATTTAGAAGAGATATAGGCACATAACGAGAGAAAGATATTCTCGCAAAACTAATATTTATTAAAAGCGTTGGAATCCTCCTAAATGCGAGTTCTGGGATAGAGTGTTTGATTTTCTAAAGATGTTATTTACATCGTATTGTAGCATTTTTTTTCTTTTACGAGGACAATAACATTTATATCATTATTGGTTAAGTAACCAATAAAAATAAATTTTATGAATTTTGGGTTGAGTTTTCCCTTTTTAATAGGTGGCATGTGAACAAATGCAAACTAGGGATATAAACGAGTCTACTATTTTTCTAATCGAGTTATATTTTGTTAGTTCTTACTGAACGTACTTGAGCTCGAGCTTGACTCTTAAGAAAATTTACAGGCTCGAGCTGAGCTCAACTGCTAAAGCTTGACTCAATTATTGAGCACGATTATTTAGTTTTAAATTATTTTTATTTTATTATTTTTTAGAATTTTTCTTTTTAATATAAATTAATTTAAAAATATTAAAATATATTATATAATGCTATTTTAAATTACTTTTCAAATATATTTTAAGTTCATCAAGTTGCTCAACAAGCTTTCAAGCCAAATCAGGCTCAGCTCGAGCTCAATCTCATTTAACATACGAGCACAAGTATAAGCCCAAGCTCGAAGTCGTGGCTTGATAAGCTAGACTCATGAGCTCTTTAATGAGTCGAGCTCGAGCTGGCTCAGCTCAGCAAATTTACACCCCTAATGCAAACCACCCAAAAACTTTGCAGGCAATAGTGAAGATGAGTCTAATTATGGGTCATTTCGATGAGGACCTAAACACGAGTTTTTAAATATAGAGTTATCGATGGCAGACCATTAATGAGGCAAAAAATAGTGAGTACAGGTTCTCAATAATATTTTAGTGAGGCAATATATTTGGCCTCAACCCTACCTCATGATATTAGTTTCTTGGATAGCTTATCCTATAGGGCAAATTATTGGGTCAGGTGACTGGACGCGGAGATAGATCCGGATATTAATAAAATATTATCTTAAATTAAGCGCAGGTAAAGCGCAAGTAAAACGCAAGTAAAACGCAAGTAAAAAAGCGCAAGTAAAGTACAGGTAAAGCACAGGTAAAGCGCAAGTTAAAAGCGCAGGTGACGCGGCAAATTTTTATTGAATGTCCGAACTTATTTTTCACCTCCGGTCACCTAACCCAATAATTTGCCATCCTGGCAATAGAGGGGGCCAGTCTTTGAATGCTGGACTTCTCGATGCTTCCATACATAACAATACGAAAGCGTCAAACCCACTTTTAATCCTATAGGCGTAAAATCTGGCTCTCTTCCACCTACTCGGAGAAGGCTTACCAGCATTGCGATTGGTGATGGAAGCTGCCAGATTGGTGGAATCAATCCCTTCGATATCCTTATGCAATGCTTCGGCAAATGCGCCCGCACCAACACATCCGTTCATAATTTCATCCTGTCGAAGAAACCATATCGAAATTTACATGAAAATCCAGAGATCGATCCCCAGCCAACAAAAGATCTAAGGGAATCGAGATTGAGGGAAAGAAAGAGAAATAGAGGGGATAGGAGAAAGAGAGAGACCATCTCGTCCAGTTCGAAAAGCTTGATTCTGGAGGGATCCATGCGAGCAAGAAAATCAACAACTTGCGAGCCACGGAAATGTGCGGGGACCCGAGGAATGGATTTGCCATTTTATATAGATTTCGAGGAGCGTGATGTGAGAGGTCGCGCCTCAGGGGAGATTTGCATTTAAAACAGCTGTGGAGATGTCACAGCGAACAGCGTTTAGCTATCAAATAGGATTCAAGCAATTAAAGTCATAATTGGCTAATGCCTAATATGTTAAGATGTTTTAATTGAAAAATAATTTATTATTAAGTGCTCAGAAGCATGTATTTATTGTATCAAATTTGTTTACAGATTTATTACGCATAAATAAAAGTTGTAATAAATCATAATTTTTTATGTGAAAAAATTAAAGTGATATTACAAATCAGCTCAAATTAGTATAAATAAGATTGGTATTTATGCGGAATTGTACATTTACGGTAGCAGAGAGATAAAGAGCTTATGTCTTAATTTTGAACAAAGATCTATCACACCTGAACTTGAAGGAATCCTAACCAACCTCACACTCCTAATCCTCTACTCTGACTTGAAATCATATAACCATATATAATGAGCTAAAAAGCTCAACAATTCACCAAAACTTACAACTGAATTTAAAGCATGGTAAAAGAGTAATATGCATGTCAGCGATCAAATTATAGCAATGGTATTCATATGATCATTGAATCAATGCACAAATAATAAAATTCATATGCAATAATAATAAAATTTTATGTCAGATTAAATCAGTGTCTCAATCACATACTCAATAAATTATGTATATCTCGTCCTCAGTATATCACATGCTTACTATCAGTATAGAGAATCAATAGTATAATAATCACTATCTAAATTAGTAATAATAATAATCTGGTGGCAGGAGCAGCATAATAATGTAATAACAATAAATTCATATATTAACAATAAATTCATACAGTAATAAGAATAATGGCTTAAAAACATGCATTTTAGTAGTCACACTAAACAAGTAAGAAGTTCTAGCTATCACAATGTTTTTCAATATTGTATTAGTATTAGTAAATCGTTGGCTTAATAAACAGAGTTGTCACTCTTTGTCTGTCGGCACAGTAATTATCTTCTTATAACTTTCAAATAAGTATGTCACATGAATTAGTAGAGAATTACACCAAATCATAGTAATTAAAGGAAAGCTAGTCGGCTCACAATCCTATATAAATCAATCAATTTCTAACCAATGGGTCAATTAATCTTTACTTATCTTTTATACATACATTATTATTATATATAAACTAGCGCATGAAATTCCGCCGTAAAGGACGTCGGAAACCTATGGTTCCGACGGATATTCCATATTAGCGGCAGATTTTATCCGCCGGTATTAACGGGTTCCCGTAGTGATCTTAAATACATATTCACATTCATTTTCAATGAATTGATTAAGCATAATTTTAAAAAGGGCAAAATATACTAATGGTAGACAACAAAAATTATACTGGGTAAAAATTCACATTTTTAAAAATTTAATCAAATAATTAAATATTGCATAAATAATATTCTAAAGCTTTAGTTGAATTAATTAAATCGCTATTTCTAGATATTAAACTAAATTTTGAGTAGGAAAAAAAAAGTTATATTTTCAAAATTACCTGGTAAAATTTTTTAAATAAATACTAAAAATGTTCATAATCTCAATATCTATAATATATAAAAAGTTATATGGTGGAAATTTTACCAATAAAAAATAATTATTGTTTTTTACTAACAAAAAACATTAATTGGATTGAAAAAATATCAAAAATATAAAATCCTTGAAATCATAAATAGGGTAAAGATTCTTTACAGTGAGATGAGCAAATCTCCCAACATGCTTGATTGGCGAAATTAGCTCCATGACATCCAAATCTTAATTCTCTTTTTCTCTCTCCTCACTTTTTATGTTATTTTCTCAAAACATTTATTCTAAACATATTAGGGAAAAATGGATTTAAAAGCTTTTAATAATGCTTTATGATATTTTAGATAAAAAAATAAATTATTAATATAATTATTTATTTTATTTAATTTTTAATAGAAATTTTTTATAAATCTATTTGGAACATTAAAAATTATAGAAAAAATATCCATAAAGTAATACATTTTATTTAGAGAATCTTAGTGAAATTGGTTTACAAAATGGACTCATGATGATATCAAAATCTCCACTTGTAGCGATAGGTGTCAATTTCTTAAGGATTTTCACTAACGTCCAAAAATTACGAAAAAATTCATGTAATTAAAATGTCGTAATCTTAATGATATGGCGAAGACATTTTATAATTTGGAGTTATATTGTCTCTAAAACAATTATTTATCTGAGTTAAAATACGAGTTATTACAGATGGTAAACAGACGGGTTGTGCTCCTACGGTGCTCAACAAAAGTTTATCAACGGTGATGCTTGGGTAGAGCTCTAAGTTCCTTGAAGCTTCAGAGGTCTCTCAAGTGGCTTTTGTAATAGTAGCATATATTTATTAATTATTTATAATACAATGAAGTGATAAGATAACTTTAGAAGAAATAAAACAGATGGCTAAGATTTGATGCAGAAGGAAATTCAATCTACTTTTATAATAGTAGTATAGATAGATTAGTAAAGTTGTTGTGAATGGGAATCCGAAGGTATGGGTTTGGAGTGGGAATACGAAGAGCCACTCGCTAAGAAGCACGTGAAGAGAAAGAGTTTATGGTTGTGAGTGGGATCCGAAGAGATGTTAATACATAGTTAATTCATTAATACATCAACTTTATGAATAAAGTTATAATTATTAATTAATTGTAATTATAATAATTAAAATAAAAGGTCGAGATTTGATTTGAATTATTAAAATTAATAAAAATTGATGATGAGGATTGGATGTGAAAGAAAACTCAAATTCCTTTTATAGTAGTGGTACAGATTTATAGTTTATTTTTCTGGATATCTCTGCTTGTACATATAAATGCATCTTTCTCTTCATATAAGCTATATTTTCATTTTAGAGGATTTTGAATAAGGGAAAATTAATAGTGTTGAATAATTAAACGAATATTTGTTAGGTGTGAAGTTTAGCATTTCCCAATAATTTTAATCCCAAAGTCATATGTAGATAAAGCCTTATTTTGATTTTTGTAAGATTAAGTAGTCTATTCATATTGTTGCTCTATAAGAAGGCAAATTATTGTGTCCGGTCACCTGATATGCGGACATCCAATCCGGACACGCCACCTCATCCGGATGCAATGGGCCCCGATATTTTTAAGTGACTTGGCGCGTTTTTATTGATGTTCGGACGAATTCGGACACCGGACACAATAATTTGCCCTATAAGAAGGAGAAAAATTATTAGTTTGAATGTACCACTAAACTTTCCTCTAAATGCGGTGAGTGTAACCATGAAGGAATTGTGCTATGATTTGGTGAGAGAGAGAGAGAGAGGAACAGAAAGAGAGCAATACAAGTGGAATAAAAGTGAGTAGATACACTACAGAAAAAATACTATTTTTTCGGATTTTTAGGGAGGAAAAAATGGAATTTCCTGCAGAAATATTAGTTGCCGGCAGAAAAAAATCCGATGGAAATCTATCGGAATCCCACCAAAAAATTGTTGGAACTCTACCGAAAAATTATCAGAAATATTCCGTCGAAAATCCGTAAGAAAATTCGTCGAAAATTCTGGCACATTTCTGAAGTAAAATTTTCACTAGAAATTTTATCGATAATTAGCATTTTTTCTGTGGTGATATTTATATTTTACTTTTATCTATGTTATTAGTGAACATTTTTGTCATTTTGCCATAATTGACTTAGGCCGGTCTTATCGAATCACAATTATGAGCTAGTTTGTTTCTCTTCAAATGCCTTGTCTATAATTGTGAACCTATAGAAGAGTTTTATATGCAATAAAAGGTGAAGATGATTTGACATTAGTGTATGATACAAATTGACATTCTGATTTTTTATTTCATTCTAATGATCTGATCTTATTCCCCTCTGATACGATTCAATTCTTATGCTGGTTTGCTTCAGTTTAGATTCAACCTATGATGCTCCGACACAGATACGGCACGATACGGACACGTTAATTATTGAAAATATAGGACACGGACACGGATTCAACACGGTATTATAAATTTTATATTTTAAAAATAGCATATAAAAATTTAATAAGTATAATTTAAAATAAGTTCGAAATAATAAATCATTTAACTAAAATTTGTGTTTAATATGATTAATATTAGGATGTCGAGAGTCAGGCTTCGATGTCGCTTCTCAATCATCGATAGAGGAGATGAAAATAACTTCAGTGCCAAAGAGAAATGAAAATGTGAATATTCCATGAATGGGTATTAAGGGCGGGCAATTGATTTGGTGCTGTGGATAGAAAATAAAATATTTAGTTTTTATATTTTAAATAAGTAAAAATTTTAAATATAAGAAATTATATTTAAAAAAATTCATAAAATATTTAAGATTCACGTGTAAACATTTTTTTAAAAGGACACCTTTTCGACGTGTCCGACACATGCCGTGTCGGATATATGTCGGACACTGCATGCCTCTTTGAGGAGAACTGTCGGTGTATCATATGATTCAACTGTTTCTCAGTTCAATCCCTCCTGGATTGTATCTATTTCAAAATCAGCTTCTGCTGCCGTGCTTATTAACTCCGGCTAGTATGAGAAGCTGTTGTAGGCTGCAATCTCTTTGCAGATTTCAGCATTTTTTTGTTTTCAGAACTGCCTCTTTATTAAGGTTAGCTTTTGTTGTATTTGAGGAGGTAGGTTCACACAACTCTCCTTGGCCTATTGGTTGAGAGCTTTGGCTTCCAACTAAGAGGTTCAGGGTTCGAGTCTATGTGTATGCGTTGTGTGTGTGAGTTTGCCTTAAATGGCCTAAATGTCCCAAAAAAAGGAGGTGGGTTCTAGATTACATATAAAGGATATCTTAGTCAAGTAAAAATAGTTTTTTTTTTTTGAACATTTAGGCCATTTAAGGCAAACTCACACACACAACGCATACACAAAGACTCGAACCCA